GGCAATTTTCTTACAGTTACGAAATGAAGTAAAATACTGTTCTCTTATTTGTTACGATATTTCAAGGTCATTGGTGCAATTCAAAATTTTAGCGGTGTTTTTTTATATCAGGTATGTATGTTTCTTTATTTTTGAGGCATTTACATAGTACTTGACCATTTTTTGGCACTTATGAAAAGAAATAATGTTTTTTTCTCTCATTCGTCATAATCTTCAAAGGTCATTGGTGCAAGTAAAAAAACTGTATTTGTTTTTTGTAGTGTTTGTGTTCCTTGATTTTTGAGCCATTTAGGGGGCATTTATGTAATATTCAATCATATTAGGGTAGAAAAAAAAGAAGTAAAGTTTTGTTCTCTTATTTGTCATGATATTCTAAGGTCATGATGCAAGTCAAAATATTTTAAGGTTTTTTTGTATTATTTATTTGTGTTTCTTTATCTTTCGATCATTTTTGGTCATTTATGTTATATTCGGTCATTTTCAAGCAGTTACACAAAAAGTAAAGTTTAGTTTTCTTTTTCTTCACGATATCCTAAGGACATTGGTGCAAGTCCAAAGTTTTTTGAGGCATTTTTTGTATTGTTTTTGTGTCTCTTGATTTTTTTGCCATTTTCGGAGCATTTACGTAAGATTTGGCCATTTTTGGGCAGTTATGAAACGAAATAAAGAAGTATTTCTAATTCTTCATAATATTCTAAGGTGTTTTGTGCAATTAAAAAAATGAGGCGTTTTTCGTATTGCTCTGTATGGTTCTTGATTTTTTGGGACATTTACATAATATTCGGCCATTTTCGAGCAATTAAAAAAAATAAAGTTTTATTATCTTATTCTTCACAAGATTTTAAGGTAATTACTGCTAGTGAGAAAAATTGAGCCATTTTTGTATTGTTAATGTGTGTTCTTGATTTTTTGGCCATTTTGTAGCATTTACATAATATTTGACCATTTTCGAAAGTAACGAACAGAAGTAATGTTTTGTTCTCTTATTCGTGACGATATTCTTATGTTATTGGCGCAATTCTGAATTCTTTTGAGGCGTTTTTAATTGTTTATGCGCTTTTTATTTTTCATCCATGTTGGAGCATTTATGTAATATTCGTCCATTTTCGAGCAGTTATGAAAACAAAATTTTGTTCTCTTAGTCGTCAAGATATGCTAAGGTAATTTACGTAAGACAAAAAAAATTGAGGCATTTTTTGTATTGTTTGTGTTTTTCCTTTTTTTTGGGCATTTACGTAATATTCAATCATTTTTGGGCAGTTATGAAAAGAAATAAAGCTTTGTTACCTTTTTCTCACGATATTCTGAGGTAATTGGTCCAAATCAAAAATTTTTGTGGGTTTTTTGTTATTGTGCATGTGTGTTTCTTGATTTCTAGATCATTTACATAATATTCAAACATTTTCGGGAAGAGTTACTAAAAGAAGTAATGTTTTGTACTCTGTTCGTCACGATATTCTAAGGTCATTGGAAAAAGTCAAAAACATTTTGAGGTTTATTTTTTATTATTTATGTGTGTTTCTTGATTTTTCGGCTATCTAGGACTTTTACATAATATTCGACCATTTACGGGCAGTTATGAAGAGAAGTAAAGCTTTGTTCTCTAGTTTGTCACGATATTGTAATGTCATTGGTGCTCGTTTTGAAATATTTTTGAGGTGTTTTTTGTATTGTTTATGTATGGTTCTTGATTTTTTTGGCCATTTTTAGGTATTTACGTAATATTGAGGCATTTTTAGAAAGTTACGACGTCATGACCCAAGCTTTCACCATCGACATAATCCACACTCGAGAACCATTACTAGTCCCCAAGCGGAAGACTACCTTATGCATACAAAGCTTAAAACGTAAAGAAGAAGTAAAGTTTTGTGTTGTTATTCGTAACGATATTCTAAGGTTATCGGTGCAAGTCGATGTTTTTGTGAGGCCCTTTTTGTATTGTTTATATGTGTATCGTATTTCGTCCATTTATGTGTATTTACATAATATCTGTACATTTTCCAAAAGTTATGAAAAGAAGAAAAATTTTATTCTATTATTCATCATGATATTCTAAGGTTATTTGTGCAAGTGGAAAATTTTTAAGGAGTTCTTCGTATTGTTAATATGTGTTCCTTGATTATGCGACCATTTTGGGGTGTTCCATAATTTTTGGCCATTTTTGGGCAGTTACTAAAAGAACTAAAATTTTGTTTTGTTATTCGTCATGATCTTCTAAGATCATCGGTGCAAGTCAAAATTTTTGAAGTGTTTTTTGTAACACTCCGTAAATGGTAGGTTAAGCTAGAGTTGAAATTTTAGGATGAGTCAAGTGCCATGCACATGGGGCCAAGCCAATGCCAAAAGTCCAAGGATGCCCCTAGCCATTAGCTACTGCCTCAACCTTCACAATAAGGACCACGAGTCGTGGTTCACATCACGACTTGTGAAGGTGGTCGTAGTCTTGCCTTGACCACGAAAATTTTTGACACCAATTCTCCGAACTACTGCCTAAACTTAACGACCTACACCACGGTCTGTGGTTTTGACCACGACCAAGAGAGACTCTCATGAAGTCGCCTTAGGGAAATATCCAAATTGGCTCAAGTGTCAAAGCCACTACCTCAACTCCAAGGGCATGAAAAAAAATGGAGGCCACTGCCTCACCTTCACGGGTAGGACCACGTGTCGTTGTCCTTACCATGCTCGTGAAGGTGCCCTTGGTGCCTGGACGTGAGCTTTTAGTGAGGGGTAAACAAGTCTTATCCTTTTTTTACTCCAATTAGGGGGGGGCATGTTTTGGTTATTTTAGGGGGTGGTTCATATACTTTTTTAAGTCAATTTCAATAATATTCAACTCATAAACTCAAACACCAAAATATTTCCCCAAAATCCTTTCACCTCCAATATTTCACTCTCTAGAGTTTCACCATTGAAGAACACCAAGAACATGAAGGTTAGGGCTCAAGAATCAATCTTCTCAACAATTCGTGGGCGAGGCTTCAATCAAGGTATCTGGACCTTGATTCGTGTAACACTTTTCTCCATTAAGACCTTCAAACTCTAATTTCGAAATTGGTATGTTGATCAAAAACTAGGTTTTTTTTTATAGACATGAGTTCTTTCTAAAAATGATTTCATTATATTAATTGTCATACGTTATGGATGAATTGATATATAATGGTGAATTTTATTGTAAAATTTCCCATGAAACCCTCTGTTACCCCATGACCCCAATTTCATGAATTGTGATTGGTTTATAGATGCAAGATGAATACTATGAATTATATCTATGTTGAATTAGTTATTAAATCTTGTTTTATTCATGCTTCAAGTAGTATTTCTAAGTGTGATTGTGAGAACTTGGTTCATGAACCTTGAAGTGGGTAAATTGTGAAGGTTTGTTCATGATTAATGAAAGTTGTATGTGGACTTATAATTCACTTGAAAGGTAAATATCTTGTTACCATTGTGTTTATTGAGGTATTATTGAAAGGTTAATTCTCCCCTTACCTTTACACATATTTATATATAACTTTTCTAGAATGGTGATAACATTGTTGTGTTGATTTAAAGGCTAATACTCATGAAAACACTATGATTGTAATGTAAAAGTTCTACTCACATGTTGATGACGATTCTAAGGTTGAAAGTACATTCTCACCTTCAATGAATGTATGAGCTATTATAATGAGTTCTATTGAATGAAGGGTAAAGCACCCCTTCACACATGTAATGCAATTTAAGACTAATTATGTATAATTTGGAAAATAATGCTTAGCACCGAGTGGATATCCACAATGAGTTAAATGCCCTTCTACCAATGCAATTTGTTGAGTCATATTCCAAGTAAACTCATGAGATAGAAACTCCTCCGCCAATGCAATAGGTCGGGTTTGTAGAAGCAATCTCCCTATCCCATAAATATGTACCAAGAAAGGACTTTACCTAGTGGATCAAACTTAAGACTAAACATGTCAGTTCTACGTTAGGAAAATAGGACGCCTTCTTTTGGTGCGGGGTTACACAATACCGCATTCTATGTAGCTCACATAGTCTATGTCGTTTATGACTATTCTTCTCTGACAAGATAATGGATGAGACATTAACTAAACTATAACTTATTGGTGAATTTACGTAGTATGAGTAGGGTATGCGACTTCATTTTTGCATTGCACAAGTAGACATAGTAGGATGTTTTGGGATGGTTTATTTATGATATGATGAGATATGAATGTATGCATGTATATTGAATGGATATTTGATGTGAATGACTTTCTTTATGTTCAAGTAATGTACATTACCATTTCCTTGTTGATGACTACTGATTATTATGAGGTCCAAAGATGATATGTATGACCAAAGTAGCTTCAAGGAATTACTTGGTATGGTTGGTATTATGGGATGTCAACCACACATTGCACAAGTGTTCCTTAGAGGTTTCTAAGGTGTTGATTTTACCATGTTGTGAATATAAACGTTATTAAGGCTTGTCTTTAACATTAAAAATGTATTTTGGGTTCTAAACATGATAAATGCATTCTTTTCAAATAAAATGTCTTTTTATCATATTTCAAGGATTTTATGCATGTTTCCATACTTGGTACATTTTTTTTCAAATAAAATGTCCTTTTGTATCACATTTCAAGGATTTTATACATGTTTCCATAGTTGGTACAATTTTGTGCTAACCCTTTCTTCCTCTACATTTTGGCAAGTGTAGGTTTTTACTAGGTAACTTACACTCTTTTTCTTGAAGAAGACTTGGATTGCTTATCTCAAAGTGTGGCACTAAGTCCGAGGAAGGAGTATTCATTCACTACTAAAAAACAATGTTTAGCAACGGATATTAGTGACGAACTATATTCCATCACTAGATAATGTCAGATTTGCGACGAAATTATCATTTTGTTGCAAAATTAACAATTGATATTTAATTTTTAATATAGCGTCAGATTTACAACAAAATATTTAATTCGTCGCTAAATATTAGCGCCAAAATTTTGCAGCCCAATTTTCCCTAGGGATTTAATAACAAAAAAAGGGTGAAAAAATAAACTAGTATTTTGCCACAACAATTAACGACGAAAAAATGGACTCTAAACTTTTATATATATTGTCATAAAAATTAGATTATATAGTGACAAAACTATCTGTCAATGTAATATTTTTAAAATATATATATATATTTATTGGATAGTGACGGATGTTATAATCTATCACTAATTCTGTTGCAAAATATTTTTAAGTGATATATTTTTAGGGCATAAAATATTCACACTAACATTTTCAGATGAAGTTCTGAAACTCCTAGTCTCCATCTCGGAAAATCCATTTAGATTTAAAACTCCATCTTGAAGCTGGTAACACTCAAAGCTCTGAAACAAGACTCCATCTCGAAGCTCTAAAGCAAGTCTCCATCTAGAAAGGTAAGCGCTCAAACTCCATATTCGATTTCAAAGCTCTAGTTTTCCCAAATCGATTTGTTGGTTTAGATATCAAGTGGAATCAATTTCCCAAGCTGCGTTTATCAAGAACTGGTCATAAAATTAAAATCCTATTTCCAATTTGCAATATTTCTTCATCTAGGCCATCTTCGATTTTGATGAGTTTCAACTGTTTATCTTTGAAAAATAAGAACTCCACTAAGAGTTTTGGTTATATTACTGCATAAGAATATCAAATTAACTTGACATACCATTGTCTTGCAATTTTAACTTGGCATACCATTGTTTTCCGATTGCTAATATGGACCTTAACTAGGAATTGTTTCACTCAACCACTAAAAACAGAGATTTTAGTCGATTGGGTGTTAAGAAAATATAATATTATAACTATAAACTCTTTCCATTTTGGATAGATTGAAGTAAGATTGAATGTTCTTAAAATAGAGGTTTTTGTAGAATTAAATTTTCTGAAAATAGGTGTTAGGGTTTAAGCAAACATCTAGAGTTATGCACAAATAATTTACATCGATTTCACACTGATTTGTTTTAGTTTTCTACTTCAGGTAACTTTTATTGCTATGACTACTTACTACCGACTCATCCTTTCTGTAAAAGGAATCTCTCTTTTTTCTTTTCTGCTTAATATCTTTCTTTTTTTCATAAAAATGTGTTGATATATATTTTTTGTTTATACTTTTGTTTGGATTCATTTTTTGGTGAAAAATAATGTTAGTAAAGTATTGAATCTAGTGTTAAAAGTTGTTTCTAGTTGATTATTGTTATTCTTATTTAGGATCTTTCACGTGTGATCCATAACTTCATTTTTTTAAAATTAATACTCTAAAGTGGTTTGTTATGTTTTTTTTCACTTGAATGTACAATGAGTGATCTTGCTGGTAGTTGTCACAAGCCTCAAGTACCCCCTAGAAGCTAGGGATAACCCTCGGATCGTCACCGGGCGTACTTGACCCTGTGGGGTCCTGTACAAGCCCTTTAACTATCGTTCATTACATAAAACATGAAAAGTAGTGAGGCATTTAAAACTTTTCACGAATAATTTAACAAAAGAAAACTTTCATAAATACTTAGAGAATCTCATCATCACAAACCAAACTTAAGACACGACATAATATACTAGGGATACGGCCCTTTACATTGAAAGAGAAATACATTATAAGTCTTTAATTAAGAAACTATGAACATGACTATGCCATTGATTATACGACATACTTTATCTTAAGAGCATCTTTCTCAAGCTTCACCTCCAAACCTTCAAAAGCTTCCAACCTATACTTATAAAGTATATAACATTATGGGGTTAGTGCAAAACAATGTACTTAGTATGGCATATGTAAAATCATGTAAAAAGTGACATTTTAGTAAAATAACCTTTAATGCCAAAAAAATTATAACATTCATGAATCTATAAGCAAAACATCATAAGAAACATCATTTAACACTTAGATAAGAGTTTCCATAAATTTTAAACCAAAAGAACACTTTACTGTAAACTTTCCAACTTTACAGTAAGCTCATTTAACAATTACAGTGAACTAAAAGACTCCTACAATGCTGAACATCCAAGGTATTGCCAATGAGGAAGTGATTAGTAGGAGTTTCCCTACCTAAAGTTATCCAAAGACTATCCAAGGTAAGACATGAAGAAAACATCTAAACACTTCCTTGAATACACAAATACACACCCATGCAGTCCTCAAGACTAACCCTTTCAGCTTACTCACCTCGGGAGAACAAGTCACCACTCAATCACAACATATTAGAAGAACACCCAATAAAACACCAAAGACTTCCCTTTTGGAATTCTTACTTAGTGGAATGAGTAGATAGCGTCCCGTACCACCACCTACCTGATGTAGTACACTCTTTTAGAAGGTTTGGCACCAAGTCTTCCCTTTTGGAAGGTCCTACTTAGTGCAATAGATAGATAGCGTCACATGCCACCACCTACCCTAAGTAGCACGTTCTTTTAGAAGACATAGTTCATTCAATTCACATAAGGCTCACCAACAGTGTCCTTTCGGAATTCCTCCCTAGTGCAACGGATAAATAGCGTCCCATTCCACTACCTACCCTAAGTAGCACACTCTTTTATAAGACTTAGTACTTTCATAACATTTGTGGGGGTTTGCTTAACCGACAAAGACCATGAGAGCTAGACATGGAACTCCTGATATTAACCCCTATTGGATTGAGGGATCCTCACTTGCCTAAAGTAAGGTCATACTTCTTGGCTTTTACATGAATTTTCCAATAGCTACACCTATGCGGGCACATAATTAAGGGATAAGGATATTGCTACTAAGTAACTCATTATCTACTAACAACGGGTACTCATCTCAAGAGGTACATTAGAACACAACATCTCAACTCACGAAGTGTAACCACCCCTTCTTCATATCCTCTCGGTGCTAGGCATAACTCCGCACGAATTCTCAACATTATATAGTATAGGTTAAGGATAACTAGTGAATACCACATGTTAACTCACGAAGGGAATATATCCTCCAACCTATCTTAGAAATCTCATTCGGAATAGTAAGGTTGCTACTAAACACTTTATCTCAACTAACGAAAAGTGTTCACCCCAAGACTCCCCTTTTTACTCATCTTAGTTTCATACATTCATTTAAGTGTGTGTGTGCGTGTGTGTACATGTGAGCACACCTTGCATATAAGCATCATTTCATTCTTATTATTTCTATACATGCTTTAGACCTTTATTCATCAAATCACACACTTTACATACTTCACATAATCATATAAGTCATTTAGGCATACTCTCTAGCCTACTTCAGATTTTCGCCTTACAAAACACATTAAACAAGAATAATATCATTTACATCCTTATTTCACATAAAAAGCCTTCATGTACTCATTCACAATGAATAATTAAATTCACATTCATATAAGCCAAGTAAACACCGCCACCAAGAAGGTGGACCATACCACTTAAGAGAAATTTATAATAAGGACTATACAATATAAGCAACTTACCATTAAATCAAGCCAGTATCATATATAACCAATTTCTCAATATTTTGTCATTATAAGGCCTTAATGGAAGTAGCTAAACCAATATAACTACACAAGAAAACTAAAGCTCATTCTCTACACAAACATGCTCACTTAACCCATTTCTTAAGTTAAAAGTTTGAAATATGCATAAACATGAGTTCATTATAGTTTTGAAATTAAAATCATCAATTAATGCTAGAATAAATACATTTCAATCATTAAAACACTTTTACAAGAAGACCCGTGCTTAAAAGCAAAGGTACAAAAAGTAGAGTTTGAAAACCCTTTTTGAAATCTTTTAGAAAGGACTCCCTGAATGGAAGAGGGTTCAAGGATGGATACCATACCTCAAATTCAAGACAAACACACACGCGCGCACACACACACACACACACACACACATATATATATATATATATTCATAAAAGGAATTGTAATTGAACTATAAATTGTAATCTTACTCAATTTCATATTCCTATATATGGTTTATTGCCCAAACCAAAAAGGAATTATAATTCAACCAGGAATTGTAATCCTACTAAATTTCATATTCATATATATGTTTTATTGTCCAAGCCAAAAAGAAATTGTAATTGAACTGGGAGAAGGATTTTATCCCACAACATGACATTTATAAATAGATACATTGTCTCCATAATTTTATCTTCAATTACAAACTCTGAGCCTACGAAGAAAAGGGCATACTCAAGGTAATTTTCCTCCTTTTTTTATTTATTTTCATCACTTTTTTACAGATTGACATGTCTGTCGTAGAAAATTTATATCTCATTGTAGAAAAATTGAAATCATGAACCATTTGATTTTTCATAAACGACTTTTCGATATCTAACATATCCAAAATTCAAAATTTAATACCTTCAGAATCTTTCTAGATGATTTTTTGAAGTTAGCTCTAGATTTTGTCATGCTAAAAATTTGTCACTTTTTTTTACAGCCTGACATATCCGTCATAGAAAATTCATATCTCATTGTAGAAAAATCAAAATCATTAACCGTTTTATTTTGCAGAAAATAGACTTTTCAATCTCTAACATATTCAAAATTAAAAATTTAACACCTTCAGAATCTTTCTAGATGATTTTTTGAAGTTAGCTCTATATTTTGCCATGCTAAAAATCTCGTGTCTTGACGTAGGAACAATGAAATCATAATCCGCTTGATGATTCCGAATATAGACATAAAGGTCTACAACACATTCAAGAATCAAGATTTAATACCTTCCGGGTCTCAAACATCTTGACGTGTAAAAATCTCTCCTTCACTTGTATTTTTCTCCTCTTTTTTTTTGTAGATCAACAAAAGAAATTTTATATTTTACGAAGGCTAAATATTGGAAGAATTTATCACATAAAAATGTGGTTAACGTCCATGCCAAAAAATAATAAATAAATAATACTCTCAAGGTGTTCCATGGCCCTTAATGGTTATCTAACTTAAAACTTTACTAGAATACCGTGTAAATCTCCCGCCTTGAAAATAAACTCAAGGCGTTACAAGGTCCCAAGTTTTTAACCATGAAGCTTTACTAGAATACCGTGTAACGCTCTGCCTTCAAAATAAACTCAAAGTGTTATAAGGTCCTGAATGTTTAACCAACTTGAAGCTTTACTTGAATATTGTGTAACGCTCCCGCCTTAAAAATATACTCAAGGTATTACAAGATACTGAATGCTTTACCAACTTAAAGCATTACTAGAATACCGTGTAACGCTCCCGCCTTGAAAATAAAATCAAGGTGTTACAAGGTTCGGAAGGCTTAACCAACTTGAAGCTTTACTAGAATTCAATGTAATGATCCTTCCTTGAAAATAAATTCAAGGTTTTACAAGGTCCCGAATGTTTAACCAACTTGAAACTTTAAACTAGAATACCGTGTAACGCTCCCGCCTTGAAAATAAACTCAAGGAGCTACAAGGTCCAGAATGCTTAACAAACTTGAAGCTTTACTAGAATACCGTGTAACGCTCCTGCCTTGAAAATAAAGTCAAGGTGTTACAAGGTCTCTAATATTTAACAAACTTGAGGCACGATAATCCATGAAAAGACCATTTTAAGGTGCAAAGGGGCAAATATTGTTCACCTTAAGACATGAAAATTTAAGGATCCTTTAAAGATAAATCCGTGGATACTCTATCTTAAGGTGCAAAGGGACAAGTTTGCCAACCTTAAGGCATATAAATTTAAAGATTTGTTGAAGGATAAAAATCGCAATAAAGCTAGCTTAAGGTGCAAATGGACTAATATTGTCCGCCTCAAGGCATGAAAATTTAAAGATCCTTTTAAAGATACACCAGTCAAAAGGCCAACTTAAGGTGCAAAGGGACAAATCTTGTCCACCTTAAGGCATGAAAATTTAAATATCCTTTACAGTATACACTCGTGGAAACTCTAGCTTAAGGTGCAAAGGGACAAATATCGCCCACCTTAAGGCATGAAATTCAATTACAAGCGCATTTGGAGATTTTGAAGACTTCTACTTACACACTTGAAGTTTTACCTTTATAGTTGGAGGATTTGAATACTTCAACTTGTATATTTGGAGGATTTGGGTACTTAAAAAATAAACACGAAGAATATAAAGACTTCAATTTGCATACTTGATCTAATTTCAAGACTTCAACTGTACTAATAAGAGACTTATATTTTATAAAGGTTTGCCCCCTCCATTGACCCATCAATACTTTGTGCAAGTCTTAAATTTGATGAGACAAAAGATAAAATAAAATATATATTGTTTTGACTTTCATGAAATAGATAAAGTGGGAACATTTTTTTTGACACTCATGCAACTGAACTTATAAATATGGTTCTAAGCGCCTACGTACCTCGGTGAGGAGGATCAAGTCACAACGTAGTTCTGGGGATTTGAGTAATTTTTTTTGTGGTTGTGTCGTACATAGTTTATACTCTTGAGGGCCAGGAGTGACATGCATTTTAGGCTCGTACCTTAAGGATCATCATCTTATTTCAAGGATAATGTCTCTTTAGGAATTCGACATTAAAAAGACCGATCCTTAATCCAACAGTATCAACAAGCTTGTAAGCACCATTTCAATATGCTTCTTGTACGACATATGGTCCATCCCACTTTGAGGTAAATTTTCCTCCAAACTTATGCGAAGTAATATCTCTTTAGGAATTCGACATTAAAAAGACCGATCCTTAATCCAACAGTATCAACATGCTTGTAAGCACCATTTCAATATGCTTCTTGTACGACATATGGTCCATCCCACTTTGAGGTAAATTTTCCTCCAAACTTATGCGAAGTAATGATGGGTATTCTTACCGCGAGAAATTGATCTCCAAGTTGAAAGCACCTCAAACGAATATTCTAATTTAAAGCATGAGATGGGCTTCTAACCTCTTTTCATCAAGTGCTTCTAACTCATCAATACGCAATCGAGAATTTTCTTCCTCAGCAAGCCTTAGCCCTTCTTGAATAGCAAGTCTTAAGGAGCGTATTTGACGCTCGAGTGGCAAGACTGCTTCAACTTCAAAAGAAAGTGAATATGGTGTTGCTTGAGCTAGTGTGCGATACGTTGTCCATATATGCCCACAAAGCTTCTTCCATTCTTTCATGCCAATCCCGTTTGGATTTGAAGACAACTTTTTTGTGCAAGTTGCATAGTGTTTTATTGAATGCTCCATCAAGACAATTACCGGTAGCATGATACATAGAATATTTACGCCGCTTAAAGTCAAAAAGATCACAAATCTTGTTCATTAACTTGTTATCAAATCGTTTGTCATTGTTTGTTATTATATAGCGAGGGATGCTAAAGCGATAGATAATATTTGCTCGGATAATATTTGCTAGATTCTCTTTCTTCACCTCTTAAAGAGCGATAGCTTCAGCCCATTTTGAAAAGTAATGAGTTGCAGCCAAGATGTACAAGTGTCCACCATAAGACTTTGATAATGGTCCTATAATATCCAGTCACCAAGCGTCAAATGGACAAGATGCGATGGTTGGGTGAAATACTTTGGGTGATTGATGAATGAAATTCGCGTGAAATTGACAAGCATCGCACCTCCTGGAGTAATATAAGCAATCTTTCACCATGGTTGGCCAGTAATACCCCATCCTCTTTATCTGAAATTGAAGTTTTTGTCCAGATTGATGTGATCCACATACTCCTGAGTGTGCTTCTTGTAGAGCTTGAATCGCTTCTTTCTCTCCCAAACATCGTAATAACATACCCTCAAATGATCTACTTTATAATGTGTCGATGTAGTAAAGGAAACAAGGCGCACGACGACGTATGTCAGTTCTTCTTCTTGGATTTTCTGGAAGTATCCTATAACATAGGTAGTCAATGATGGGTTGTCAATCTTCATTCGCGGATTCAACAATGGCGACGATATGATCAATCTCATTTTAAATATATTCTTCCTTATTTGACGGTGATACTATCCATTTTTAATAGACAATGACTTGCGTTTGATCATGAAGGGTTAGCGTTGAAGCTAGAGCAACCAATGTATCAGCTTTCTTATTCTCTGTTCTACGCACATGTTGAAGGGTTACATCTCCAAGCCATCTTATCAACTTTTGAGCATAATCATGATAAGGGCGAAATTTAGGCTTTTTCACATCATAACTTCCCAAGAATTGATTAATCACCAATTGAGAGTCACCAAAGACCTGTAAATGTAATTGTTTCATGTCAACGACCATTTCAAGTCCAAGTATCAGTGGTTGATATTCAAAAAACTTATTGGAGCAAAATCGTTTTAAAGTAAAAGAGAATAGTAGAATCTCTACTTGTGAAGTGATGAACACCACGCTAGCACCAGCTCTGTCGCGATGTGCAGTCCCGTCAAAGTACATTTTCTGAGAAGGTTGAACTTCAATTAACATCGCATCTTTATCATGAAACTCAGCAGTTCACTCCCAATCATTTGGTATAGGATATTCTGCTACTTGTCCCTTCACGGATTTTTGAGGGATGTACGCAATCTCAAATTGTTTAAATTGGAGGTACCATATTGCTAGTCGGTCACTAAGGACAAGTTTTGACATAACAAACTTGATGGGATTTGCTCTATAAAGAAGGCGAACAACATGAGCTTGAAAATAATGCTTCATCTTTTGAATTGAGAAGACCAGTGCCAAGCATAACTTTTTGATTGGCGAATAATTTAGCTCATTTGGCGTCATCGTTCTACTTAAGTAATAAAGAGCATTTTCTTTGCCTTCACTATTCTTTTGAGCTAACAGGTCTCCTGCATACCTTTCTTGTGCTTCAATGTAGAGTATCAATGGTTTTCCAAGTATAGGGGCTGCCAAAATCGGAGGTTTCGCTAGATACCATTTGAAAATTTTAAAGGCTTCGCTACATGTTTGGTCCTAATTAAAAGGAGCACCTTTCTTCATGAGATGATTGAAGGGTTGACATCAAGTAGGCTAAATTTCCTTGGAGACTTTTTAAATCATGAATATCTCGAGGTTCAGGCATCTTTGATATTGCATTGACTTTGGCTTGATCAATTTCAATTCCTCGATGTCTCACAATAAAGCCAAGGAACTTGCCAGAAGTAACTCCGAAGGCACATTTCAATGGATTCATCCTTAGTTCGTATCTTCAGAGTAACTTAAACACCATCCTTAAGTCTTTCAAATGATCACCCCTCTTCCTCGACTTTACTACCAAAATCATCAACATAACCTTCAACATTTTTATGGAGCAAGTCATTAAAGATATTTTGCATAGCTCTTTGATATGTGGCTCCATCATTCTTTAAACCAAATGGCATCACTTTGTAGCACTAAATACCTTTTGGCGTGCGAAATGCACTGAGTTCTTCATCTTTTGGTGACATGAAAATTTGATTATATCCAGAAGAGCCATCCATGAACGACATTGGCTCATAACCATTGGTGGCATCGATCATCAACTCTGGAATGGGAAGAGGAAACTCATCTTTAGGGCATGCATTATTGAGATCTTTAA